AGAGTTATTAAAAAAAAAAGCCTGTATTTTAATCCTCTAGGGGACTAGTGGGAGTCAGGAAAATTCCCAGATCATCTCACTTTACTCAGGAGAAAGCAGCTCCAGAGCTGCGCTCTTCATTGTCTGAGCTGCAAGCAGTCAGTCCAAGAACAGTTTGGAGACAGCCCAAGCCAAGGTGGGCACTTTAAAAGGTGCATCCACTATATTAAAGATTGTCCAACTCTCATCCCTCATACTCCACACAATGCCCCTGCTTCATCCATTCACTCCCACAATGGCCCCTAAATCCCCAATCACAGGCTTTGCCTCTCACCTCTACACATAACCCTCATATCAAGCTATGGTACTTCAATCCTCCTTCAACTGCGTACTGGATGTCCTGAGTTGTCAGCCAATAAAATAATAAGGTTTGGTTGAGTACCCAGACATCAATTAGATTGTTGAAACTACTGAGTTCCTGGGAAAGTACTACTTGATTGGCAGCTCTGGTACTTCAATCCCTTCTGTCAATTATGAAATGTTTATTTATACAAGAACAAGGAGTCTTAGGTGTTTGCAGTTTCTGCTATGGATACTTTAAATGGTCTGAATGATCAACACATTTTTGCCCTGCCTTTAAAAACTTTCACAAAAGTAATGAATAAATGACTCTTTTCAAAAAGTTTATTTTTACACATTCTATTGTCAATCCAGGATTCATTACATCTGTAGCATTTATCAGGGATAACTGGGCACATAAGTGTCTTAGCTCAGCAAGGGTGATGGTGGGGGTGCAGGACAGATATGGACAACCTTTTGAACTTACCTTCCAAAATGTTCCCTCATGCAGTCTATGGTCTACAACACCTCTAGAATAAAGAGAGGTGATCCATAAAGGTTTAAAAAGATGGCTGGACTCTGTGATAAAGGTGGAGTATTGGTAAATGCCTACTTCCACAATGGAGCCAGCCAAGTCAGGTTGCCAATCGCAACCTGAACCAGCACAGTCCATTAAAGTCCCTGGTGAAAAATGAAAACCCTCAGAATGGAGTGGGGAATATCAGAATCATGACCTGAAATTGTGAAGGGCTCCAAGATGACTGAAAATCTAGGCTGTGTCAATGTGGTCAAAAGGGTTGCAACACTTCTAAATAATTTGCTATTTATGTCAAAATCAAATTATGATTTTAGTGTATTCCCATTTGTGTTGGGATAGATGGAAGTGTGCACAATATCCTAAGATTTTGCTGTCGTAAGGAGGGTTAAAAATCAGTTGCTAATTAATGTCCTTAATAGGGATAGACAACAAATAGAACTGCAGCTTAGTGAACAAAAAAAAAGCAAAAACAAAGTTGCTGGAAAAGCTCAGCAGGTCTGGCAGCATCTGCGAAGGAAAAAACAGAGTTAACATTTCGGGTCCGGTGACCCTTCCTCAGAACTGATGGTGGCTGGGAAAACGAGACAACAAGGTGCAGAGCTGGATGAACACAGCAGGCCAAGAAGCATCATAGGAGCAGAAAGGCTGATATTTCGGGCCTAGACCCGCCCGAAACGTCAGCCTTTCTGCTCCTATGATGCTGCTTGGCCTGCTGTGTTCATCCAGCTCTGCACCTTGTTGTCTCGGATTCTCCAGCATCTGCAGTTCCTACTATCTCTGTGGCTGGGAAAACGTCAGTTTATATGGAGAAAATAGGGAGGCGGGTGGAGTAGGGAGTAAACGATAGAATAGAGCTTAAAGAGAGAGAAAGACAGTTGGACAGACAAAGGAGTTACTAACAATCAGGCTGGGAGTGTGAATAGCTGTTAATGGGGACTGTTAGTGACTAACAACAGGGGGTGTGTAATGGCAGGCTATGTTGTAACAAGGCCTGGTGTGTGGGGTAGGGGGCTGGGACATGGGAGAGTTTAGGCCCTAAAATTATTGAACTCAATATTGAGTCCAGACGGCTGTAGGGTCCCCAAGCGGAAAATGAGGTGTTGTTCCTCCGGCTTGCATTGGGCTTTGCTGGAACACTGCAGCAAGCCAGAGACAGAGACGTTGGCTAGGGAGCAGGGTGTTGCGTTAAAGTGGCAGGCAAAAGGTAGCTCAGGGTCCTTTTTTGCAGGCAGAACGTAGGTGTTCCGCGAAGCAGTCACCAAGTCCACACTTCGTTTCCCCAGTGTAGAAGAGACCACATTGTGAGCAGCGAATGCAGTAGACTAGATTCTGGGAAGTGCAGGTGAAGTGTTGCTTCACATGGAGGGTATGTTTGGGCCCTTGGATACTGGGGAGAGAGGAGGTAAATGGGCAGGTGTTGCACCTTCGCCGGTTACAGGGGAAGGTGCCGTAGGGCTGTGGAGGGGTGTTGGGGGTGAAGGAAGTGTGGACCAGGGTGTCCCGGAGGGAACGGTCCCTGCAGAAGGTGGACAAGGGAGGGGAGGGGAATATGTGTCTAGTGGTGGCATCTCACTGGAGGTGGCGGAAATGGAGTCTGATGATCTTCTGGATGTGGATGCTGGTGGGATGGTAGGTGAGGATAAGCGGAACCCTATCGTTGTTGCGGGAGGGAAGAGAAGGGGTGTGGGCGGAAGTGCGGGAGATGGGTCGGACCTGGTTGAGGGCCCTGTTGACTACGGAGGTGGGGAATCCTCAGTTGAGGAAGAAGGTGGACAGTTTGGAGACTCCCTTGTCGAAGTTGGCCTCATCTGAACACATGCGACGGAGACGGAAGAACTGAGAGAACGGGATGGAGTCTTTACAGGAAGTGGGGTGTGAGGATGTATAGTCCAGGTAGCTATGGGAGTAAGTGGGTTTGTCATGGACATAAGTGGCCAGCCTATCCCCAGAAATGGAAACAGAAATGTCAAGGAAGGGAAGGGAGGAATCAGAGACAGACCAGGTGAAAGTGAGGGCAGGGTGGAAATTGGAGACGAAATTGATGAAGTCTTCTAATTCCAGACCAGAGGGGGAAGCAGCACCGATGAAATCATCGATGTATCGGAGAAAAAGTTGTGGGTGGGGGCCGGAATAGAACTGGAAGAAGGAATGTTTCACATACCCCATGAAGAGACAGGCATAGCTAGGGCCCAGGCGGGTACCCATGGCAACCCCTCTTACCTGAAGAAAATGAGAGGAGTTGAAAGAGAAGTTGTTGAGGGTGAGGACAAGCTCGGCCAAGTGGAGGAGGGTGGTGGTGGGTGGGAATGGTTCAGGTCTTTGCTCCAGGAAGAAGCAGACAGTCCTAAGACCCTCCTGGTGGGGAATGGACATGTAAAGGGATTGCACATCCATGGTAAAGAGGAGGTGGCTGGAACTGGTAAACTGGAAGTTTTGAAACCGACGTAAGGCATCAGAGGAATCATGGGTGTACGTGGGTACGGATTGGACCAGGGGACAGAAGACTGAGTCAAGGTAGGAAGAGATTAGTTCTGTGGGGCACGAGCAGGCTGAAACAATGGGTCGGCCCAGACAGTCCTGTTTGTGGATTTTTGGCAGGAGGTAGAAACGAGCTGTGCGGGGTTGGGGAACTATTAGCTTGGAAGTGGAGGGGGGGAGATCACCGGATGAAATGAGATCAGTTACCGTAGTGGATACAATGGCCTGATGTGTCATGCTGAGGTCATGGTCCAGGGGAAGATAGGAGGAGGTTTCTGAGAGTTGGCACTCAGCATCTGCAAGGTAGAGGGTCAGTACACCAGACTACAACAGCACCACCCTTATTGGTAGGCCTAATATCAAAGTCAGGGTTAGATCTGAGTGCATGGAGTGCAGTCATTTCGGAGGGAGATAGGTTGGATTTGGTGAGGGGGCAGCGAAATTGAGGCGACTAATGTCACGTTGACAGTTCTCAATGAACAGATCGAATACAGGTAAGAGGCCGGAGGGAGGGGTCCAGATGGAGGGAGACTGTTGGAGTTGTGCAAAGATGTCTGTGGGACAGGGAGAGGAGTCTTATCCAGAGAAATGAGCATGGAGGTGACGAAGACGGAAGAAGAGTTCGATGTCATGTCGTGCCCAAAATTCGTTAAGGTGGGGATGCAGAGGAATAAAGCTGAGGCCATTGCTGAGTACGGAGAACATCAGCATCGGAGAACGGAAGGTTAGATGGGATGGTGAATACCTGACAGGAGGTGGGGGCGTTGGAGAAGGAGATAGAGTCAGAGGGAAGGTGAGGAGAGGAAGGTTCCAGAGGACCATGGGTATTTTTGAGTTGTTGACCACAATGTGGTCTCCTCTATATTGGGGAAACGAAGCGTAGACTTGGCGACTGCTTCACAGAACACCTACGTCCTGCTTGCAAAAAAGACCCTGAACTACCTTTTGCCTGCCACTTTAACACACCACTTTGCTCCCTGGCCAACATCTCTGTCTCTAGCTTGCTGCAGTGTTCCAGCGAAGCCCAACGCAAGCTGGTGGAACAACACCTCATTTTCCGCTTGGGGACCCTACAGCAGTCTGGACTCAATATTGAGTTCAATAATTTTAGGGCCTAAACTCTCCCATGTCCTAGTCCCCTACCCCACACACCAGGCCTTGTTACCATATAGCCTGCCATTACACACCCGCTGTTGTTAGTCACTAACAGTCCCCATTAACAGCTATTCACACTCCCAGCCTGATTGTTAGTAACTCCTTTGCCTGTCCAACTGTCTATCTCTCTCTTTGGACTCTATCCTATCGTTTACTCCCTACCCCACCCACCTCCCCATTTTCTCCATGTAAACTGCCGTTTTCCCAGCCACCATCAGTTCTGAGGAAGGGTCACCGGACCCGAAACGTTAACTCTGTTTTTTCCTTCGCAGATGCTGCCAGACCTGCTGAGCTTTTCCAGCAACTTTGTTTTTGCTCCTGATTTACAGCATTCGCAGTTCTTTCGTATTTAAAAAATAACTAATGTTCATGTCAGCCTATCAACTTCTACATTGTACAATTCTCAACAGAAACAGAAATTTAAATGTTCAGTTGGATTTAGTTTTGTATTTTTAATCACACTCACATCTTGCACCTCATTCATCACACAGAGGCCAATGTTATTTAAGTACGCCTGAGCAATTTTATTGCACAATTTACTACAACAAAAACAGAAAAGCAATTTTTTTCAAAAACTTTTCCTATACATATTTAAGAAAGGCATATTCTTCACTTTGTAACCTTTTTTATAGAAATGCAAGCCCTCAAAATAAAAGACTGTTATCAGCAGTTTTGGTATCTTTTGAGTAAAAGCCAAAGGATGTACGTAATGGTCAATCCCTTATCTATTCAATTTTATCTATAAAATTTATAAATACCAGTTTTAAAAAATGACAGACTAAACAAAATCTATTGGCTTTTGTTCCTAATGCACAATTTTACCACTGTCCAATTCATTTATGGTCACAGACCTCAATGCGACCACATCTCTTTGGAAACTAGAAATTATTAAATAGTTTGACATGCATTTCAAGGAGAAAAGTTAAAGGAAGTTCCAAAATACACACAATTTCTTGACATTTGGAGCTTCAAATGCATTTATGTAGAACTCAGTCTGCAGAAATGTTTACGACTCTCCCCTTTTTATGTTCTTAAACAGGAAACAGATGAAAAGAAGCACTACTGTGCATGCAAGGGCGGAACACTGACCTGGCTGTGGAGATACATAGTCTTAGGACCAACATACACAAATTCTCAGAGATTTGATTTATTAATAAAAATATTTTCTTTTGAAAAAAGCACATCTGGTCTCTGAACAATTACAAAATATTTATCCTAACATTCCCTTATATCATTTAAAATCAATTGTAACTTCTCACAAGTATGAGATGACTATACTAATGTGCAACATAACAGTGAATTCAGTTTTCTACTAACTTTTTGATCTAGCACAATGATTAAAAGGGTTATAAAACCATTAAGCACAATGCCATGAAACAACAATTATCTAGATGCCCTCCTGAAAACCTTCCATTTAACAAAACTTGTTTAAAAAAACTGTCGCCTGTATTTACCAGAGAGTCAGCACCAAATTTATATATTCCAATATAGGGACATCTTAGTGAGAAGCAGATTTGATCATTAATAGATGGAAGTAGATTTTTTTTTGGTAATTGATGTGTCATTTTAAACAATCCATAATGTCAACATGTCTACAAACTTTCTAAAGCAGTCTGCCAGGTCTGTTACACTTTTTCATTGTAATAAGGTAGTAACGCACTATGACACAGATTTTAAAAGTGACTCAATGTATATTCCATTACTTGCATTTTATCAATAACTGTCTCAATGACTTAAAAATTCTGTTGAAAAATAGGGTTTTAAAATTGTTAAGTATTTCCTCACAACCTACAAAAACAAGGAACTTCAAATAATCCACAACCCCAACAAAAAAACTGTTACTAAACCTGTACAAATAATTCAAAAATATGCAGAAAGCTCAAAGAGGAAAGATCATACAAGCAAACTTATAAATATGGTTTTCAGAGTGATACAGTCTGAAAGAGGGCCTTTCCATTCATTGTGCCAGTGATGGCTCTTTAAAAGGTAGTCAAATAACCCTAACACCCCACTCTTTGACTTGACCACCGAACAGGTTTTCCCTTTTAGTACTGAACTAATTCCTTTTCAAATGTTGCTACTGAAATTGCTTCTATCACATTTCAGGCAGAGCATTCAAATCCTAACAGCTCACTGCATTACAAAAAACATTCTCAATTTTACTCCACTTCATTTGTCAATTATCTTAAATTCATGCCCTTTCATAATGGGGAGTTTGCCACTGAAAACAGTTTCTCCTTATTCAATTGAAAGCCTTCATAATTTAGAACACCACATCCAATGTCCCTTTAGCCACTTGCTTTAAAGAGAACAATCTCTGCTTCCTTGTAAATGGAATCCTGCTTCGCTGGCACCATTCCAATGAATCCCATTGTGTCTGAGGACTTGATATCATTCTTAAAGTGGAGTGCCTAGGATTGACCATAGTGCTCCATCTGAGGTCTCATTAGGACGTTTTATAAAGATTCAGTGTAACTTTCCTTTTGTAATCTCTGCCTCCAGTCATAAGTCACGGATCCCATATGACTTTTTAAACAGTCTTAATTAGCAAATATTTGATGCACAAGTGGAGAATTTTAGCGAATTGCCAGTGTGTGACTGTGATCATCTAGAATAGTCATCGAAGACATGAAGATGCAACTCTTCATCTGCAAAGGTGAAAGAGGCATCACAGCAATGCAGTCCGTTATACGGGACATGATTAGTTTGAACAGCTGAATACATTATAGCTTTTGCTCTATATGAGCCAAGAGATAACAAATTTCTCATCATGTCCTGCCATCTTCAAAGTTTTATGTGTATACACCCTAAAGCTCTGGTTCTGCATCCTTTTTAAAATAGCTTAGATTTTAACTTTTCCACAATTTCTCTACCAAAATGAATTACTACACATTTCTCTTCACTAAGTTTATTTTCCCACATGCCTGTCTAGCCTATGGCCTCCTAAAGTCTCTTCCTGATCATTGTTTATTACATTTGTACATTTCATGTCATTTACAAACTTTGAAATTCCACACCAAAATCATATAGGTCAGTATATATCTCAGGAAGTACAACAGTCATAGGAGACAAAATTGTGGACTTCCCTTCAGTCTAAAAGAGGGCTGTTCATCACCAATAAAAACAGAAAATGCTGGAGAAAACCCAGCAGGTCTGGCATTGGCTGCAGAGAGAGTAACATTTAACATTGAGTCTAACATAATTCTTCTTCCGGTATTTTCAGAAATTTGCTTTGAGTTGATTGTTCACCACTACTATTTTCTGATGTTTACCAATATTCTGAACTATTAGTTATTAACTCAGTCAAGCTTTTGGTTTCAAAAAGTCTGGAAGGCAAAATTAAGTCACTGGGAACAGTGAAGGCATAGAAAGAAAGAAAAGGGCATTAAAATAATGTTTGCTTGTTGCACTCACACACTTCTAAGGAAAAGGTAGGGAGGAAGTTGCCCAACTGGCCCATTAGAGATTAGCACTTGATAATATAAGTATCTGGTGAGATGCCAAGATATTGCAATTGTGTAACCAGTGATTGTTAGCACAGAAACAAGTTTTACGGTTACAATATATTTAATTGTATGCCTGGAACTCAATTAACTAATGTCTTGCTTGAAGCAAAATGCATTTGGAGGAGAAAGAATACAGTAAATGGCAGGACACTTAGGAGCATTAATATATAGAGGGATCTTAGAATACAAGTCCACAGCTCCCTAAGGGTTGCAACACAAATGGATAAGATAGCAAAGAAGGCGTACAACACGCTTGCCTTAATCAGTCGGGGAATTGAGAATAAAAATTGGCAAGTCATGTTGCAGCTGTATAAGACTTTAGTTAGGCCACATTTGAAATTGCACATGCAGTTCCGGTTGCCACACAATAGCAAGATAGAGGGGTTTCGAGAGGTTGCACAAGAGATTAACCAGGAATGTTGCCTGGATCAGAGTGTATTAAGTATAAGGTGAGGTTGGATAAACTTGGATTGTTTTTGCCAGAGCGTCGGAGGCTGAGGGATGACCTGATAGGAGCATGTAGAATTATGAGAGGCATGGATAGGGTGGATAGTTGGAAACTTTTGCCCAGGGTGAAAAAATCAACTAGAAGGAGGGGATAGGTGAGAGGGGAAATGTTTAAAAGTAGATGAGAGAGGAAAGTATATTTTTTTATATAGAGGGTGGTAATTGCCTGGAACGCACAGCCAGAGTGGTAGCAGATATGTTAGCAATGTTTGAGAGGCACATGAACAGGCAGGGAATAGAGGGATATGGAAAATTTGCAGCCAGATACGATTAGTTTAGAATTGCATTGTAGTTGGCACAGATATGATGTTCGAGGTTCTATTTCTCTTTAAGTGATCCTTTTCACCATTGCTGGCTAACAGATGCTAGCGGCCAATACAACGAAATTGAAATTTTAACTGAAGGAATACTTTGGCAAGAATATTGGTAACAGTTTCAAAATAATAGTTACAAACGGGAAGGAGACATTAAGGGTTACCTTCCATCCATAGTACTCAGTTTTATTTTCACAAAAAACAATTTCTAGACTTTCTCATGTTTTTAGCATCTGTTCAATTTCAAGCACTGACTTTCAGATATCCCGACACAGCAGAAAGCAGAATTATTCAGTATGTTACATTCTCTGACAAAAGCATGGTTCAAACTTGCAGCAAAACTATAGCATATGCATCTGACATTTAAGGTCAATATACTGATGGTTAACATTGGCCTTCAGTTAGCTCAATCTGCATTTTGAAAATGGCTCCCTAATCTGGTGAGGTAAGAAAGGAAATATGGAGGCACTTATATGTCCATAGGGGGCTATTTAACTCAGATTTCCAATGTAATATTTTTTAATCCAGGAGTCATTTACATCAAATGCACACTTGTATCTCTAAAATATTAAACACAGGCAAAAAAGGTTGAAGGCATAGGCTTTTTCTCAAAGTTTAACATAATGAAACGATTGGTCCTTTTAAAAAAAAAGGCACTAATGGATAGGTTCTTTGTCAGACAGTGGTTCCTTCTTTTGCTGACTTGTGTCAAAGGCTATGAATTTATAAACGGAAGCATTACCCAAGGTAAAAAAAAAAGAATGTTATTAACATAATCGATGTAAAAGGCTCTTTGTTGTATAAAGGTTCTTCAGTCCTAACCATTCATGCTCAGGAACTACATTTTCTCCATTCAAGTTTTTAAAATAACATTTTAAAATAACACTCAACTCTGAAGTTAGGGTCATCAACTAATAGGTATACAAATATCACTTCGAAGTCAAGAAAACAGCCTATGCCACTCCCTTGCAAATTATCAGACTGCCCTGTGTAAAATATATTTACACTCTTGAGAACTAACTACAATTGCTTAGTCTATATGCAATTTTTCTGGCTGTATATTTTGAATCAGAAGTGAATTTCCCTCACTTCTAGATAAAATAAGCTATTACTCTTCATCACATGGCCTACTGTGATAAGGAGATGGCAAAATTCCCATCCATATCTCCAGTGCTATATGCTTGGCTTACTGTTAATCTTCATAGCTCTGTCAAAAGGGGATAGGAATAGGTTATGCAGTCTGTTGAGCCTGCTCCGCTATTTAATACAATCATGGCTGGTCAGACACTTGAATCTCCTTAATCCACCCCAATCCTATAACCCTTTAGATCATTGGTGATCAAGAAATGATTGATCTTTACTTCCCAAATACACCCAAACCTGAACTTCACACCCTCTGGGGTAGTAAATTCCAAAGGTTCACAACTTTATGAGTGAAAGATTTTTTTATCTTATTTTTAAGCTGCACCCCCTTCTTTTAGACTACACAATTGGGGAAACGACTTACCTCCAACTGGTTAGCCCTGCTGCTTCACAGTGCCAGGGACCTGTGCTCGATTCCACCCTCAGGTGGCTGTCTGTGTGGAGTTTCATTCGCCCCATATCTGCATGGGTTTCATTCAGGAGCTCTCGTCTCCTCCCACAGTCTAAAGGTGTGTAGGTGAGGACTAGCCATGCCCTGCAGTGTCCAGGGATATGCAGGCAAGGCAGATTAGCCATCCAGGGATTACACTGGGGGTGGGAGAGAGTTTTGGCAGGATGCTCTTTGGAGCGTTGGTGCAGATTCAATGAGCTGAATTGCCTCTTTCTGTCTATCTGTCCCTTTCTGCCCCATGTCTATCCCTTTAAGTATTTTGTAGGTTTCAATGACATTGCCTGTCATTCTTTGAAACTTTAGAGAATCTTGGCTACCTTGCCCAATCACTCTTCATGGAAGGTCTTGCCAAGCAAGGAACAAGCCTCACGAACTTTTGTTGCACTGCTGATGTGGCAATATCTTTTTGAGGTAATGAAACCAAAAGTGCACACATAACTCCATGTGTGGTCTAATTAAGCTTCAGTACAACCGAAGCAAAACTTCACTATACCTCTACTCAAATTATCTTGCAATAAAGGCTAACATTCCAGTTCTGAAGAAGTTATATCAGACTCGAAATGCCAACTTTATTTCTCTCTCCACAGATTCTACCAGGCCTACTGAATTTCTCTAACATTTTGTGTTTATTTCAGATTTCCAGCGCCTGCAGTATTAATTCACTGACACTTTTCTTCCAGGTATATCCACGTTGAAGTTCTAATTTTCCAACTGGATTTCTGCTAATCTTTAGGCATGTTTCTATCTCCTTCCTAGTGTTTGATAAAGTGTTTGGCAAAACTTGCTTTCACAGCCACATCTCCCTTAGTGACTGTCACTGATTCCACCCTACCCCACAATGGAAAATAAAAGCAATTCTGAAGAAGAGTCATATCGGATTTTAAACATTTGCTCCTCTCCCCACAGGTGCTGCTAGAGCTTGAGTTTCTCCAACATTTTGTGTTTGTTTAACATTCCATTATCCTTCCTAATTAATTGTTGCACCTGCCTGTTAGCCTTCAGTGACTTATTAACAAGGATCCCCAAGTCCCTTTACACATCTGCACACTTTTCAATCTCTCATCATTCAAGAAATTTTCTGTACATCTGTTCCTCCCACCAGAGGATAATGTCACTTTTATACCGTATGTTCTTTCTACCATGTTCTTGTTCATTCACTAAGTCTGTCAAAATTCTCCAGAAGCCATTTTATATCTTTCTCACTATTCACATCCCTGCTTAGAATTACATCAACTGAAAATATGGAAAAATTACAATTGGTTCCCATGTCCAAATCATTGATATTTATTGTGAACAGCTGGGGTTTTTTCTGATAGGCTCATATTCCAGCCTGGGACTTCAACATGTAACCTAAATGGAAGAATTTCCACTTTGCCAGAGGAACACCCTTTAGGTTGGACATTAATTGGTTCAAGCAGGCAGTCTAATTCAGTCATTCATTCCTGCAGTGCTGTTTCTGAGATGTTGTAGTGTCTCCTTTTGCCTACAAAACAACATTACTGCATTTCATTGACTGTGAGGTGTTCTGTGCACAGCCGCAAGTGTGACTTTAATATGATTTCAAACAATTTAACGTATAAAACACTGTAACATGTTACACACATATTAAGTTTCAGACCACATGAGATAATGTTTTGCTTACAGAAGCTGTCTTTTTGCAATAAACCCAAATAAGGAGTGTTTGCAGAAAGTCTGAATTTTAATGTGTGCATTATGGAAGAGTTCCACTGATTTAATGGCAGCTGCTGCTTCAAGGCAGCAACAATTTTCTCACAGATGAGCATTTCCAATTTTCTCCTGTCAGCTCCAAAGACCCAATCAATCCCTCATTAAAATTAAAGCAGCTATTAGGCAGTTATTTACAAAGAAACAGATTCAAAATATCAGATTTTCATGAGGCAAAAATTACTCTCATTTAAGACAGTTTCCAAAATAAGAGGACTTTGCTTTGAAAAATGGAAAGTTAATTATTTAGTACAGAAAATAATCCCTTAGTTTTCCTTTTAGCTATAACTATTCTCTCTTAGGCTATACAAACATCAAAATGTGCAAAATCCCCAAAATTAACAAACAAGGTACTTTCTTAACTCTCAACAAAATCTATTGCTTTATCCCATAAACATATAAAATATATATTTGTATAATACTTACCAATAGTCAAATATTGTGACACATTTCTATGTGACTTTATTAACTAGGGTCAGTAGCTCAACTTACTAATTGAAATTTGACACTTCCTGGAATTATGTGCAAAACCTGTTTACTGCAATAAAGGAATTCAAGGCACAAAACTTTGTTTTGACAATATTCCAATCATAACAGTTACAGATGGCATTGCTTGTAGCCCATATGCTTAATAACATTAGGATGGGTGATAAATGCTGGCTTGGCCAATGACTTCCCCATTCCATGAATTAATTTTTAAAAATGCAAAGTTAAAAATAGCCTGTAATAATACTACAGTTTTGTTTAAAATTAACCTAATACTGCACTCTAATGGTCTGGTCAGAGGGATGTTTTAATTCAAGTAAGAATTCTTCACTGTCTTAATTTTCCCGTGACAGATTCCTTTCAATTTACTACATCAAAATGAATTATGAAGATCAGAAGATGCTTGCAGTCTAGGCTACTTTTGCTTTAACAAGTGAGAAATCCAGGTAATTGTCCGAGACCTGTTACGCAGGATGCCTTCATGATTGCAGAGGTTGTGACAAAAGCAAGGTACATCAATTCTGGACTTTACAAGTAAAGAAATTTTAGAGAGAGAAGGAATTATCTTTAAAAATCAATATCACAGGAGTGGGCATTCATAAAGGCAAGTTCTCACGACAGCAACAGGCCTGGTGCTGATTCAAATAACCAATACTATATAGTTTGAACTTCAGAGAGCAGAAGTGAAATTGCTTTTGATTTTTCACTGGCTGCTATGGAGTTATCCACATTTAATCACCTAAAATATCATAATTACAGCATAGTAAAGAACATCACATTGATAAATGCCAGTGATTATATTCCACTGCTTGTCAGTTCAGCATATATGGAATATAAAACTCAAGAGACTGGTTATCAATCTGGATTTTCAGCAGACTATCAAGTCTATCCATTTTGGCAAGGTGACCTGCTTAAAGTCCTTTACTGGCCAAAATGAAAACAAAACTACTTTTGTGGTTTGGCTGCATGATGAGAGTGGGGAATAATTTCATGTATCATAAATGTAAGCAATGCAATGCAAAATTGAGACAACCTCACAAAACTTCCATCATATTTCTGGCAAGACAAAGCCTATCCAGGAGCTGCGTATGAAGAATTCACTGCATACTTTTCTTTATAAAAGATTTCTAGTGCATTTTCAACATCAATCAAATAACAAGTTTGTTGGCTTAGGATAGCCAAAGATAACAAAATCAGGCATATACAATTCATAAAGTTGTTTTCTCCAAGCTACTGGAATTTTTGAAAACCAGTCCTCTTCCCAGCTGTTTACTGTCCGGTTCCGTAAACTTTGTGGAAACTGAACAAGCTTTTCCACATTGAGCAACTTCAGTAAGTAGCTAGCATCCTCGTCCAAACTTTCAAGTTTTCCAATAAAGTCATAATTTATTTGGCATGGGTGACAAAGCCTGTATACCTGCCGCCAGTGTTCATTAAAAGGCATATTCTTCTCTGTCTGAGGGTCCAACAAATACTGAATGAAGTTGACAAAACTGGGCTTGATTCCTGCAGAGAAAGCCTCATTTACAGTTGATGGTGGGTCAGAATAATTAGCATACAGTTGTAGCATTGGGATTGCAAAACGATTATAAAAATCCTCATTCTTAATTTCAAACTTGCTGCGGAATGCCGAGATTAATCTTACAAAAGGATCACGAACAAAGAGAAACTTTGTGTACTTTTTCAGCTTAATCTTCATGAGGTGTTTTGAGAATTTGCCATAACGTTTCCAGAACTTGTTGAAGGTGAAATGACTGGTTGAGTTATGCACTAAATCCCTGGGGATCTCAAGTGGATCACTATATGGAGTGCCTTGCTTCAAAATACTGCCACTTAATAAAATCATAATCCGCTTCCAATTAGTGCAGGCCACTTTGGGAACATAACAGTAAATAACGCCATGCTGGTCATCCACAATAAGATGGTCCAATTCTTTATTTGGAATATCTTCAAAATTCCTATTTTTCCCTGAGAACATGATACTGGAGTCTGCACACACATCTTTAATATTTTGTTTCCTCTCGTTTTGTATCCTTTCTAACTCCGTCTTTGTTTTGGCAGAATTGATTCCCAAGTCAAAGCCTGGGAGTTTCTCAAGGTTGCGTTCAGATATTGTATTGACAGTTTCTTCCATCTCAGGAGAATCTCCTTCCTGTAGGTATCCTTTTGTGTTTTCAAACAACAAAAAATCAAGATCATCCTGAATAATGTCAGGTTCAGAACTGGGCATTCTTTCTTCTACTGTCTTTTTGGAATTCAGCTGGTTATGGTTTAAGTTTGTCTTTAGAGGGAGGTGTGCAACCTGAATTCTTGAAATAGTAGTGTGCAAGTGAAAATGGGCTGTTCCAACATCATCCCAATATAAAATTATCAACAGAATCATAAACACAGAGGCCATGATGCCACAAATCTGGAAGATCCGAGATTTACTCATTTTGAGTAAGTGCATACCTGCCCTGCCTCCGAGTGTCCACTATGTGCTCATCTAAAAAGAATCATCTTGAAACAAGTGGACTCTGAAACAAAAGAGAAAGATTTCAAAATAAGTTATTCATGACCTGTGCCATACAAGAATATTAGCAGGGGTATTTAACCGAACTGTTTTTTGGTTTAAAACAGTATAATCACAAAGAAACTTGGTGCTTTGATTCCACCCGACATACAATTATAATAAGAGACAACAAGGTGCAGGGCTGGATGAACACAGCAGGCCAAGCAGCA